CATTCATTAGGCGCAAAGCTAATCGCTGGAGTGTTCACGACTGCTTATTCATTGCAAATTGTTATACATCATTGTCTGCTACGCGTCTTGCGAATGTGCTACCAGTATAAAAATGTAAAGGGCACTATAGAGGGAGGATATTCTAGCTGACAGTAGCTTCTTCTATAGGATGGCCCTCGTGGACACGCTATAGTGGCTTAAACTCCTCGACCTTTTTTAATAAAGTTACTGACTGACCGACTGTTGTTGCTACTGGTGCTCCCGCTACTGTCGCTCTGCTGCTACTGGGGTCGGGGGCGCGGGCGATGTTAAGTGCGCTAACGCGATGCGGACCATAAAATTGTGTTTTAATTTTAAGATAAGCACTTCTTTGGCACAAAACTAGCATAGCAAGGTTTCAACAGTCAACGTTGACTTATTATTTGTCTTTAGTGACGCGATAAGAACATCACACATATTTGAATTACCAATGGCACGATTGGGGGGCTCGAACCCGGGTCCTCTGGGTGCCAGCCCAGTATTCTACCTCTGAGCCACGCCAGTGCTTGGAAATTGTTGGCAAAGTTGCCTTAAACAATCTTGATGCCGGGAAAGTAATCGCGTTAATACGACTTACCAAGCGTTTCAAAACAGTGAAAGAACAAGGCAGTCGTTGCACAATGTGAATAGCGTAACGAGTGGGCCGTCCAATGCTCCAACTCATTACAAAAGCTTGTTTTTTTGTGCTGCTTTATAAAGTGTGGCGCATACCCACTTGAGGCATAATTCCTGCATGAACAATTGGCACAAAATTCCTCGCAATAGTTTAGCGGATACCACGCTTTTCAGAAGAAATAAAATAGCATAGCGAATGCCGACCTACTATTCTAAAATTTTTATTATTAATGCCGTAGTGGGCATCAAGCAAGTGTGCTTGGAGCACTTACCCAATGAGTGTTTAGAAAAGGCTCTGAAAGGCCGCTCTTCTAGCTTTCGCTATGACTGTGCAGCGCCTTCCGCGCAGACCAGGCGTGTTTAACGTGTACTTGTGTTCAACACCGCTCAGCTGTGTGAGACTATGGAAGTCACAAAAGCCGATTGACCGGTTCAAAGAAGGCTAAATAGAACAATGTGGTTACTCGAGCTGGGACCCCATGCTCTTTTTTTTTTATTTCATTTCAAAGCATGAGTTATTTTCTCATGTACATAAACATACCACCCATATTAAAAAAATGATGGATGCCTTGGTCTGACTTGTACCCCCCCCCCCCCCCCCCCTGTGATTTTTCTTGGTTTACGCCACTACATTAAAGACACACTTATTTCTCGCCCAACCACTTTAGACATGCTATCCCATGACACTGAAATGGTCCGCCTCGCGAAGAGTATGTTGTGTAAAACAGAAAAAAATGCAGCGCTAAGTGTCCAGCTTCACGTTACGGTAACCAGGGCTGTCACACCGGAGATGAGTGGCCTTCGCAAAACACGTGGGATCCGATTCGTCCGCAGAAGAGAGCGAAGGCCTTTTCGATACGCGTGTGGGCGTATCGAAAAACTTTCTCGTGCTTTTACGCCGACGTGTATCCGGCTGCCGTCGTTCTTCTGCAGATTGGGCCCGCTTGCGTCATGGCCGGATCGTGACGCGAGCCGTGCCCACGAGTGGGGCTCGCGTGTGGGCGGCTCTTGGCTCGCTAGCGAGGAGGCACGAAACCCGTGCACCTGCGTGGTTGGACGGTGCTGCTTGCTGCGCCCCTCGTGGGCTTCGCTGTCACGCGCGCCCCGAAGGTCAAGAGCGCACGCGAATGGCAGGTTGTACCTGTGGTACGTTATTGGAACCCCTCGCCGCGGCTCTCTCGGGCTTGCAGGTCGTCACCTTGTTTTCGGTTGGGACGAACTGTGCGCCCGGCGGTGGAATTTTTTTGTTGTTGATGATGTTGTCTATTCGTTGGAGGTAGCATGCGACAGCGGCGATGTTCGATTTGGACTTATGTCGCGCAATATTTTAGCATGTTGTTTCGCGTGGTTCATTGGGCGTTTCAAGTGCGCATATATCTGTGCATTGATGCTTCCTTAGCGCATACTTTCGAGATGAGGGATGAAAGAGCACAAGATCGATATACATTTGATTCTAATCGTTACTGATCCTAGTCGAACCCCCCCCCCCCCTTAATTGTTTCAATTTTGCTTGCGTACATATACACGCACATAACGCGCGCACGAACATGCGTTGTTTGATTAACCCCCCCCCCCCTTTCCCGAAAAAGAAAACTGTTCTTTAGTCGGATACAATTTGAGAAGTCCGCGGCATTTTTTCCTCGAAGGCGGATGGCCTCGCCGTGGTGGTCTGTTGGCTAAGGTACTCGGCTGCTCAGCCGCAGGTCGCGAGATCGAATCCCAGCTGCGGCGGCTGCATTTTTGGATGGAGGCGAAACTGCTGCAGTCCTCCACTACGGCGTCTCTCATAATCATATGGCGGTTTTGGGACGTTATACCCCACATCTCCATCAATCATCAAATCAAAGGCGGATGCACACAAGCGCGCGCCAATGGGCACGCACTCCAGATTGACGTTCTAAGCGGGAAAGCGGACAACAGCGTCGGAGCGCATGAGCGGGACTATTCCTTTAGTCGCCGGAGGCGATCGGCAGGGGTCATCTGGGCGGTTCCTCTCCCGGACTTGTTATGATCTATCCGTCTGTATGTACCAATGTAGTACGAGTGAGGCGGTGGTTGGAGGAGGGGGGGGGGGGTGATTTAACGCGCCCAAAGATGTGTGTCCTGTGCGCGTAAGGCTACGCAAACAGGAAAACCAGCGCTCGATGAAAGTACCCGCGTGCATCGGTGTTCGAATATGAGGGTAGGGGGAGGGGGGCGCAAATTCAGCTTTATATATGAACATTGACAAAATATGGAAGGGGAGCGCTGCGGTGAATCCCCCCCCCCCCCCATAAAGAAAAAGAAGGGGGGGGGGGGGGGGTCCTGCGCTCGCCTATGTATGTTGCCGTGGGTCCGGTCGCCGTTTTGCGATGTGCTTACGCAATCGACTAAGCGGCAACAGTACGACTGCACTGCCTTCACTGAAACAACGGCGGAACGGGAAGCTCCGCCCACGACTGCCAGCCACATCTGCGTTTCTCGTTACCTGCGAAGCGTGCCAAATATGCCGGCGCAACTGAGAGGCACTTCCTGGTTAGGGGCGGTTGTGTAGCTAGCGCTGGCTTTCGTATACACACGGTGCTCGGGTAAACGTACCCGCCAACGTCAAAGCTGCTTTCGCCGAGATTCTGCGGGCTGTACGCGCGGTAGCATAGCTGCGGCGGGCGCAGCAGCCGCGGCCCAGTGGCCCAGTGGGTGACGGGTGGCCGTTTGCACAGTGCGACGGAAAGTTTCATGTAACGGGCAACATACAGGCATCAGATGACACAATGTGTGTGCGTTGTCCCGCAGTGGCCAAAGCCAGTTTAGGTAACACCGGTTGCAACTCGTACTTTCCGATCACCCCCCTCCCCACATTCGCATTCCTGCGGCGGTGCAATCGAGACGAGACCACTTTGGCTCGTTCCCAGTCGGCACTCGTCTACCTTGTTTCGCTGTCATTTGAGGCCGGTGGCGAGCTGCATGTTTAGAGACCACTGTCGTGCCGCCATTAACGTTAAAGTGCGCTGGAGTGTGAGGGAAGGGGGGGGGGGGGGTGGTTTTCGAATCACCTAAAGGGGCTGCCCAAGTCTGCCCTGTGTCTTTACTTAGTGGTACAGGGTGGTATGAGGGACTAAAGCCACCCCCCCCCCTCCCAGATTTTATACATTTTCTACAGTGTATATGCACATACATACAAATGCACAATCATACTTTTGAGGAGGTATCTTTTTCTTTGCTCTGTTACTGTGATTTTATGATTAAATTGTATTGAGTCACTTACACGCTCCCTAGATTTTTTTTCCAGCAGACAAGGGCAAAAATATTGTAAGAAAAAAAAAAAACAGTCAGTTTGCTAACATGCTCAACACATAGCAGCACTGCTCCTTAAGTCTTTCTTTCAAGTCGGTCTTTCTTTACTAAGCATACTACACATAAAATTGATGTCATTTTGTTTTGAAATGAAAAAAAAAAACATTCATTTCAGTTTTGGAGTCTTGTTCAAACACCCGCTTCTAAAAGCTGTTTTTGTTGTACTATAAATACTAAATGTACATATCCCTGTAATAGAGTGGCATGGATGTCAAATTGTGCATGAAAGTTGGCTGACATTGATAGACATACACTTTTCCATAGCACGATACTGACATGTTACACAATGCACTGTTGGGTCGTGTGCAATTTCATATTGCAGACATTTCGACAGGCATAGTCTGTCACTGGTATTTTTCATTTATACCATAGTCAGACGTTCTTATTTAGTTTGAAGATTGTGATCACTTTGGCAAATAAATCTATATGACCACTACTGAGATAATTTGACATTGATATTGCTTTAACTATGTCCCATCTAGCTGTGATGCAGTGTTCACCGGCTAGCTGTTTCCTTTGATGACCCATTTGTGTGCCGAGTGCATGTCTTGCTTTCTTAATTAGAGCTTGATTATTCTATTTCATAGAGCACATGTTATCTGTGCTCCTGCACAGCATACCTGTTCGATGTACTAGGCACATTACTGATGTAAATATGGAATTCAGAAAGTCTTCCATGCCCACGTGCATTAAATTTCACTCTGTTACAAACGCAACACCAGGCACAATAAGACATGCAAACGTACACACAAGAGACGAAAATGAAGGGTGCACAAACAGCATTTGTGTCTGATTCCTTTCTCCTGTCTATGTGTTGAAACAACTCACTTTATTTTATAATGAATCTCTACTACCTTGCTCAAGTTTCTGTAGTTCTATGGCAAATACGAGCAGTGTATGAATACAGTAGTGAGCATCTGCAATGGGGCTTCAAAACAACTATAGCTGCAGCCTTGTCTCGCAGTTTATGATGCTTGTGGTTATTGTTTTTCTGTTGTCTTTCTCTTCTGTAGGCAAAGAAGAGATGAGCCCTAGCAGCGGGGGTGGTGGCATGAATGGCTACTTTGTGGACAGCTTTGGAGACCCCAAGAAGAAGAAGGGTCCCGCGCCCAGGCAACAGGAGGAACTCTGTCTCGTCTGCGGCGACAGGGCATCAGGCTACCATTACAACGCACTTACGTGTGAGGGTTGCAAGGGCTTCTTCAGGCGCAGCATCACAAAGAATGCGGTCTACCAGTGCAAGTACGGCAATAACTGCGACATCGACATGTACATGCGGCGCAAGTGCCAGGAGTGCCGTCTCAAGAAGTGCCTCAGTGTTGGAATGCGACCAGAATGTGAGTGCTTGCTCGACAGCCCTCGTCATCGATGTTCTTTTTGCTACAAATTCAGATTCCTGGGGTAACCCGGATGTACAAGCCTTGGCTGCGCATGCCGCAGGCCTGCTTAAGTAAATGATTTATTCAGTGTGCGTCGCTTGTAGCAGCTACCGGAGGTAAATTGAATGCCATTTTGAAGCGTTTGCACCAATAGATTGGTTCGCTTATGTGAATTCAATTTGTTAGCATCAGGGCTGCATTTCTGAGCTCTTGGTCGGTGCAAAATTTCTTTAAGTGCAATGCTTCATAGCAGCCATATTTAGTCTATTATAAGCTCTCTGATTAAGCTCTGTAACATGTTTCATTTTCCATTAAATGCACATGCATGTTGAGCTGCTGCCTTCGTGCATACTCTTACATCTAGCCTAGCATCATTGAAGAACTCTGCAGTTTCTCTCTGGCTTCAGCTATTGTCTTTTATATCGAGCATTGTGAAATACAGTGTCGGGGAGTCTTTGGGACTGTGTAATGCAGCGGCTCGGCAGGCTTCTTTGTAATGCATCCGGCAATGAAACCTTGTATCTGAACAATACTGGCATTGTCAAGCTGTGCGAAGTAGTCTCCCGTTCTTCTTATTGCTTAAAGATACTTGCATCAAATTTCGGCCTCTGTTCACCTGAAGTTATAGTGCTCAAAGGGCATGTAACTGCACTCATTTCCCCAAGTTTCACATAGTGGCTAAGGTACACTGGCTGTTGACCCGCAAGTTGCGGGATCGAATCCTGGCTGCGGCGGCTGTATTTCCGATGGAGGCAGAAATGTTGTAGGCCCGTGTGCTCAGATTTAGGTGCACGTTAAAGAACCCCAGGTGGTCGAAATTTCCGGAGCCCTCCACTTCGGTGTCTCTCATAATCATATGGTGATTTTGGGACGTTAAACCCGACATATTAATCAATGTTTCAGACTCGCCAGTTTGCTTAAAATGGCCCTGTGACGCTAATTGTGTTGTTTTCATCGCCTTTTCTCGAACTACTGAATGCACTCATATCGTTGCACAAGTGGCTACACTAAAAACAAAGGTGTTATTTTATTTCTACAGAGAAACCACACTTTTTTCGAGCTAGAGCAGCACACAGCGGCTATTCCTTTGATCCGAAGTAATGCTTCGCAATGTGGGAGCAACGACATTGGTCGTGCGTTTTGATTGGTTTGATGCGACACGTGACACATAGATATGGGTCCAGATAGGCCAAACTATTGTGCACTGAAAATTCTAAGAGCACTCTTCATACTTCTGCAGGTACAGAAGAATTTCATTTCTTGAAATATAACATGTGAAAACAATTGCAAAACAAGCTAAGAACGCTGCATAATGGCTACCATGAGGCAAGTCTTCCGGTACTTCTCTGTAGGAGGTGCACGGTGATTGAAAATGGCCTTTGACGTCAGTGGGAGAGTGAAATGCGAGAGGAATGCGTTTTTCTCATCTTCTGCTGGTCTTTTAAAGCGTGAGGGCTAATAACTCCCGTTACCGTGTGCCATTTTCAATCATTCTTTTTGTGTTTAAGTATACGGCACTACACAAACTTTAATGCTGTAAAATGAAGACAAAAAAGTGTCGCAGGGCCCTTTTAAGCATACAGCTAGCTAACCTATTTCATGATGCATGCTGCTTTAGTAGTGTCTTATACAACTAATCGAAATTAGATACTATTTTTTGACCTCTAGTATGACCTCCAAGCATCATCACAGAGCAGGTGTGCTGACACACAGCACGTTTATTTGGCCCCCATCTTAATGGCACCAAGGTGAAATAGTGGAATAAAGAACTGTTAAATAAAAAATTGCAAGCTGCACAAGTTATCTAGTAATTTATTGTTTCACAAGTTAATTTACTATTTTCATAAATTATTATATTTACAGTGGGACAACTTCATTTTCTTTGTTTAGAAACTTGAGGAATTAAGTTTGTGCTCTCAGATGGTTCTCCAGCCGCATGGTGTTGCAGCCGTACGATTGCATATTGTTCTAGATCTGTATAATGCTCGAATGAACTCTTCACAAATGTCCAAATTTTGATCACTTGAATGACAGATTTATTTTGTGTGCCTCTCCTTCACTGTGCAATTAATGACCTATCCCCCTCCCCTCCCTCTCAGCTTTGTGTGTGTGTGTGTGGGGGGGGGTTTAAAATGAGACATACACATCTGCAAAGGAGTCAAGCTTGGAAGGCACATGCTTGTAGGTGTGATCGGCTATTCCCGATTTCTTGTGATCAGCGGCATATGCATGACCTATAGATGCGAGCTTGCGCTCCAAGAGTGTGACCTGGCAGATCACAGGATTTTTAAATGAATGCATGCTTCAGCTGCTTGACTGACCACTTCATACATCTTCTTTGCAGCAAAGTAAAGCAAATCCGACTGTTGTCAATTAAAGGGATCCTGAAACGATTTTGTACAAACACATTGGACTGGTAGAACGAGTCCGAAGGGTTATTTACAAACCAATTTAAGCTCTCTGTGTAAATTGTAATTTATTACATCACTTTGAAAGCCCTGAATCGCTGCAGATCACTGCGGCTTGTCCAAACACGTTTTCAACTGCCCATTCACAGAACGACAGGCTCTGCCCACTTGATGTTTCACTGTGGCTCCTGATCTGATTGGCTGTGGAGCGTGCCGCACAGGCCCTGTGAAAGCTGAGCTTAGCCCTGAGCACTCGATGCAAGAGTTGAGATTGTTACTTATAGCTTCGTTAATAATGGTTGTTACAATTGAATTATGGTGATAATGATTTGCTACGACTAGTGGTCTAACCAAAAATGGAATGTAAAAACTGTTTCAGGGACCCTTTAATTTGTGCTTCCAACAAATTCATGTGCAGCGTAAGATATGCAAACAATACAAATTGGCGACGTATCAAATGCGGACAGTGTGAAACGTGAATATGGTATTTACTCTGAAGTAGGGAACACTTGTGCACGTTCGCATATGTGGCGAAATGCAACAGCATCATAATGATATTGGAAGCGGTGCAGATTATATTCACTCCCATGCCATTAGCAGTGTGTATTCATGCTGAGTGAGTATATTTGCTCATGGTTGCAGGTGTGGTGCCGGAGTACCAGTGTGCCATCAAGCGAGAATCTAAGAAGCACCAGAAGGACCGGCCCAACAGCACAACACGAGAGAGCCCCTCGGGGCTGATGGCGCCATCGTCCATGGGCCGGTGGTGTGAGCCCCAGCAGCCAGCCATTGGGTGGTGGAGGCAACTCTCTGGGCAGCAGCAGCAGCAACCACGAAGAGGATAAGAAGCCCCTGGTGCTGAGCCCAGGTGTCAAGCCTCTCACTTCATCTCAGGAGGACCTCATCAACAAGCTAGTCTACTACCAGCAGGAGTTTGAGTCGCCTTCTGAGGAGGACATGAAGAAGACCACGGTCAGTGGAGCAGACGAAAGCTATAAAGCTGGCCCTGTAGTCTAAAATGATTGCCTTTTGCTTATGAACAATGATCTTGTGGAGTGCACACTGGTTGGAGGAATGAGAGGAAGCTCTCTATTCAGTCCTGCTGCAGGCTACCATATGTAGTCGCTAACGGTCATGTACACTCTCTCACTTTCTTACTCCTGTCCGCTTGTGCTAGCCGACACTCGCTCTTGACGTAATAGTCACTATTATTTAGACTTTCCATAAACCTCTAATGCTCTTACTCGCATCGAATCTCACTCTATGGCATTCATTCACATACGAATGTCGACTCGCACTGACCGTCAGTAACTTGCACCCAATCACCATCACAATCGCTGGCATTGGTTCATATTCACATAATCCAAAACTCTGGTCACACTGTCCACATACATGCATCACTTGCAGTAGCTTCACCTGGCTTATGATTAATACTGCAGTCAGTCAGCGAGAGCTGGGAAGTCGCTAGCAAAATTGGGCATTCTGTCCTACTCTGCTCTAGACTCTGCATTTGATGCAGTATGTGGGTTACAATACATTTGTCAATCAATGACAAGTCGAGTGTGCAACACTAGCAGCTTTTGGGAACAATATTGTATTGTGTGTGACTTACTGAACTTTGTATGTATTAACACCAGTGTAACATAATTTTTCGGTAGACTAATTGAGCAATACGTTCTGGCATGCTAGTTTGTTCAGTGCCATTAAACATGCTCAAAACTGCGCGAAATGAGTAGTACAAGAGTTACAAGACGCACATTGCGCTCGTGTTCTTGTGCGTGTTTTCTTACTCGTGTCCTGGTCATTATGTGCAATTTAAGAACATTTTATCAGTAGTGTAACCAATGTGCCTTGATATTGTCTGAAGCTGACATTCAGTTTAGAATTGTTGCAATTCGTGACATCATTCATGTTACTGCATTTTGTATATTTTATGGCACATGTGAGCCTCAATAGCAGTAAATTTTGTATGTGCATTTTGAAAGTGCCATTCTATCAATGGACATCTTCATCTTTGTGTAACAATGGGGTATGTGATAACGTAGCTAGTGATGGCACATTAGCTTGTTCCTCTGATGTTAATGTGCAAAATTGTGTGGTGCATGCAGCCTTTCCCTCTGGGAGACAGTGAGGAAGACAACCAGCGGCGATTCCAACACATCACCGAGATCACCATCCTAACAGTGCAGCTCATTGTGGAGTTCTCCAAGCGGGTCCCCGGCTTTGACACATTGGCACGAGAAGATCAGATTACTTTGCTGAAGGTGGGAGCCTTTTCCTTAGATATTTATGCAACTCTTATTTCACTGCCACTTGCATTTTGAACATACAATTGCACGATGATATGCTTGCCTGTTCAGATGAAGCTGTTCTTCAATGTAGCATAGGAATGGTGTGTCCATTTCATTCTTAATGCAATTCAGACAAACTTTCGTTTTCTACTTCATGGCAGTGCATTTCTGGCATCAAACCTTAGGATCATCTGTAAAACTGCATAAGGAAATGCCTTTTCTGATACAGATGTTCTAAGTATGCCTCAAAAATCATACATGCATATTATTATTCCCAACAGAGTAAACCCCCCTAAAAAAACTTTCCTTGGAGACTTTGGAGTTGGTGAGCTGTTGTAAATCAGGGATTTAATCTAGTCCAGCAATAAAAATGGTGTACCACGTGTGCAAAGCAGTTTCGAGTCCTTATGTAATTGTGAGCAGCTTCTAATTGCGAGCGTGCCAGCAAATTCGCCTGTATCTGCGGAGTGAGATTGGTGTCATGGCGTGATATTTGCCTCGCACTATTAAGCTGCGCTCACCATAGTCAAGTTCATATCAACGGAATGTAGGTTGCAATAGAAGCACAGGCATGAACCTATGATATGTTACAAAGTGGCAGCACAGTGGTCTTGCTGATAACATGGGTTTGGCAGTATGAGTCAACCACTGTGACAGGTATTTGAAAATTGCTCAGTCACCTTGCTCTTGTTGCTTGCAGGCTTGCTCCAGTGAGGTGATGATGCTGAGAGGTGCCCGAAAGTATGATGTGAAGACGGATTCTATCGTGTTTGCCAACAACCAGCCGTATACTAGAGACAACTACCGCAGTGCCAGTGTGGGCGATTCAGCGGATGCCCTGTTTCGTTTCTGTCGCAAGATGTGTCAGCTGCGAGTGGACAACGCAGAATATGCACTCCTCACAGCCATTGTCATCTTCTCTGGTGAGGACTGGCAATATCTCCTTCTGGTTTGCTCAAACTCTGTGAATTCTAAGCGTGGAAGGATTGCAAAGGAAATCGGGCAAGGAAATGGGGGCAGCATTTAGATGGAATGGTTGCTTTTGCCTTCTCTGCGAACAGTTGACAGGCGTTGAGAAATGGAAAAAAGGAGGGTGGAATGGAGCCACAGTTTGCAACAGTTTGCTCTGTTGCATTAGATTTTAGGAGTTAGACCATGATTGTTCCCACTTGAAATCCAAACAACTCTTTTTCTGCCCCTTGGTGAATGCCTGTGCAGGGATATCACTGTCAGGCTTCTGCAGAATATAATAATATTGTAACACAATCAACAATTACTCATAGTAGCATTACACTAAGTAGATTTGCTGATGGTGCTTGGGAAGGATATGCAATCGCAGAAGCCTAACTGCAAATCCTGCCAATTTCTTACTGGTTTGTTCTATCGTGTCCAAATGATTGTTTTGTCATGCTTGGCCATTTTAACAAGATCATGGCATTTGGTCGTTATTCTGCTATCACAGCAGAGCAACTGTTCATGGACTGTCCATATGCTGTAACAGCTCTTTAATACAGATTGCACGGTACCAGAAAAACTGTCCAAATTAACCGAATGCTGAATTATTGAAAGTACCGAGAAAATAATAAATACGTATTATATTAATGCACTTTCATTTTCTTGAGAGAAATGTGTAAATACAGTAATTGCTTTGAATAAGAGCGGTGCGATAGCTGCAATATATTGCAATTTGTGACTTTGTTCACAATGTGGCTCAGGATCTTTGTGTCTCAGTATGACACATGTTCCGAACCCTTACCTTATTACGTACCAGCAACGCGATAGTGTATGGTGGCTTCGCCTTTCTGTGAGCCTGGGGTCATATTGACTGTCTGCATACGCTATTTTTCTTCCATTTCGTTGCACATTCGCGGCGCTTTATGCTTGGTGCTGTCAGAGGATTGTCCGAATTGCTTGAGTTGCAGCTGGTATATGACTGAATTAACTTAGAGTTTGATGCCATTGAAAAAAGTACCAGCTGGCCAGGACCCGTGAACATACTGAGTTATCAGATTTTCCCAAACTAACGAGTAATTGATATGTGGAGCTTAACGTCCCAAAACCACCATATGATTTTGAGAGGCGCCATAGTGGAGGGCTCCGGAAATTTCGACCACCTGGTGTTCTTTAACGTGCACTCAAATCTGAGCACAAGGGCCTACAACATCTCCGCCTCCATCGGAAATGTAGCCGTCGCAGCTGGGATACGATCCCGACACCTGTGGTTCAGCAACCGAGTACCTTAGCCACTAGACCACCGTAGCGGGGCCAAACTAACAAGTATCAAGTCAACAAGCTTTTACTGTAGTGGGCTGTCCATTTCAGTCACTGTTGATTGACTGGAACCTGATAAGCAGCACGCTCCTGGTTTGTGGTTCGTTTTTCTTCCCGGCGTCATTTCGACATGACAAAGCTTCCACAATTCTTGACACAAATGAGAGCAACATAATGAGCCTCAACATGGGGAATACAGCCTTCCAAGATTCCTGTGTTCTTGGCTGCGCGGCTGTGCATTAGCTTTCATTTTGTAATCGTGTTAACCCTCAAATAACCTTTAGCACAGCCTCTTGTTTAATGCACCTGCATGATTACATCACAGCTTGCCACTTCGTGCGGCAACTAAATGTACTCTGATGACATCAGGCCAAAGTGCACATTTCTATTAGATGGACACTTACAGAGGACTTGGTAAAATATTTCACTTTTGCCTCCAGTCTATGCTTAACATTTATGCCTTTGCACAGTGCAGATTCTTTTGTACCTCTATCTTTATGACATTATGATGCAAGTACTTTCTCATTGCAGTTGCTAGGAACTGGTCAAGCTGTTTATTGTTGCAGTGTTTGGCCCTAGCATCCATCTTCATACTGTATTACTCTGAAATAACTGACTCTATTCATTGCACTGCAGAACGGCCAGCACTGGTGGACCCGTGCAAGGTGGAGCGCATTCAGGAGTACTACATTGAGACACTGCGCATGTATTCGGAGAACCACCGACCCCCGGGCAAGAACTACTTTGCCCGGCTGCTGTCCATCTTGACAGAGCTGCGCACCTTGGGTAACATGAACGCCGAGATGTGCTTCTCGCTCAAGGTGCAGAACAAGAAGCTGCCACCGTTCCTGGCTGAGATTTGGGACATTCAAGAGTAGTAGTGGTGGGGGTGAAGGGGTGACTGTACTGGGCTCTGCTGTGGACTGCCTGCAAGTGGCCCATCTTCTGGCACTGCCACAATGTGTAGGCGTCGTACGTCTCATTGTCAACGCTACTGAAAACACGGCTTTGGCCAACCTTCTGCTTTCCACACTGTCAACCATGTGCATGTTTGACCTAGTTGGTGATCCGCTGCTGCTGCTAAAGCATAAACGTCGGGGACAAAGCGCCAACTTGTATTTTTCGTCCCTCGTCTTTGACGTTTGTGCTATAGTAACATCTGTCAGCCATGCTTGCTGCACCGTTTGTGTGCCGGATGTAGGTCAGCAAATGCAACAGGCCAGCTTCACAATGGTTTCTGAAAGAACCAGGTGAAATCAGTCCGGTGAGGGCAAGCACATCATTATTTTATTATCAGTCGTGTGTTTGCACTTCTTAGAAGGCTACTTTTCATTCTTGTCAAAACAAAAATGATTCTTTCCTGCTAATGCAGATTGATCTCCTTGCTTTTTATGATACTAATTATTATCTCTAATGCATTGGTCATTAGTACTTTAGAACTTCTCAAGGGGAATGGTCTTTTTATTTCACTTTGCACGCTTTATCTTGTCACTGACAACCAGCTCATCATGAACAGCACGAGGAGCGGGTTCGATTGGCAGCCACAGCATCGGTGTTTCGATGGGAATTATGATACGTGGAAATATGCGTCACTAAGATTATGGGGTGGAGTAAAGAACTCCAGGTTGTTATTAACGATAGATTGAGGGTCCCCAGAATGGCGTGCCTCATAATTCTGGTTTTTGCCAGTATAACCCTAAGAATTCAGTTTTATTCGTTTGAGGACTTAAATGAATTTGCTGTAGAAAGTAATAATGAGACAATAACTGAATCGTGGCATAATTTTATCTGTATTTTATGCATGTTTTATGGCTCGTAGTTTATTGCTCCTGATAGCGCGTTGATTACTAAGGTTTTGATATGTGTTAAGGAACAGCTGATGTTCAATCAGTAGGCCCCACCCAATCACTCAGTCAGCGTCAAACTGGGCTGTGAAAGCTCATCAGTTTTTTACTTTATTGTGCTTTCCTTATCTCACTGCGTTTCTTCAATGGTTTCTTGAAATTACCGGTGATTTTATTGGCTTCCATATAATGCCGGTATAGTTCATTGTGGCAACATTGACATGCTTTTTCAATTATTGTAAGAACAGGCTCCTGAATTTTGTTGCAAGAGAAACTGCATGTCAAGCACGACAAAAGGGTAGCATGGCTGACAGTGTGGACGTGATGCCCGATCCGCGTGCTTGACCGACTACAGGGGTTACATTGGGGCGGCTGCGGCTTCTGTCCAGACTTGGCATGCTATGACGGCATCACGCGGACCGCAGAGCCTGATTGTAGTTCTAAGCTGGGAATCGGATCCTGTTGGTCTGGCCAGCAGCTCTTTCCTTTTTATTATAGTTTTTTTAGTGTACATTTTTGTTGCAGTGACTAACAGCTCCAGAAGGGCATTCTTGAGTGTTGCGGGGAGGAGCGCTGGTGAAGGAAAAGGGCGAACAATAATGACCGGAACTCACAGCAGGCCCTCTCGCACCATTTCTGGCAGGTTTTGCTACATGTGGTGAAAGCCATTGTTTGAAAGCTGCAGTGCATGTGTGTTGTAATGATCCATGGCGTGGTGAAAAGGGGACTCTTGCAGAGGGCATGCATGATGTGCACTGCCACCACATCCCCCCTTTAGTGCTTGCCTCTCTGGCTGCATGGTTGCGTTTGATAGCTTGTAGTACCACCACTACCTACTGTTGAACCCACAGTCAAGTGCCTTAACATAGTTTGAGAAAGGTTTGTCCTGCTCCTTTTGGGTTAGTGTGTAACTCTGTAACCTGTGCAGCCAGTGACCGTGCGAGAGGGCCACAGTGATGCCAGCAAAGCGTAGTTGGCCACTCTTTCCTTCCCCACCCCTTCCCGCCTCTGGGCAGACGACATTGGCAGCGCCACGAAGGCCAGGGCAGCTGTGGTCGCTTGCAGTGGCAGGGATGCCTCGCTCTCGCTGCAGAGAGGTGGCTGTGAGTGAGATAAACGCACAAACTTTGACAATTGTACAAATGTCGTCCCCTTCCATATGGCAAGGGCATTGTTCTTTTATTTGTCCTTTTTTTATTGCCTGGTTTTCTTTTTTTAAGGGTGTTTTTTGTTTGTTTGTTTCTATGTGTTATTACAATGGGTGCATGTACATAGCGATGTGTAATGCTTGGCACAGTCGGCAGAGATGGGGGATGATGGCATCTTTTAGTGCTCGCTTGGTACCGGTGATTTGAAAGGGGGTGTGGAGCACCCCCAAGAACAGAAGGAAAAGATGCCAGCAGCAAGGGAAAGAAGGACTGAGCAGCCCACCACCAGACCGCCATAACATATTTTTTGGGATTCAAAGCGGTTTACGATCTCAGTGTTTCACAAAACCACCTGGCAGGTAGCAGCAAAGAAAAATGGATGAAAAAAAGAGACTGCAAATGCATTAACCATGACTGCTTCAACTTGGGACGTTGCCGGCAACGAAACCAGTGGACCTACGGCAAAACATCGAGCGTCAACCTTGTGTGTATATCTGTGCTTGTCTGTGCTTGTAGTGTGTGGTTGTTGGACTTGCACAGACTATTATGTGGAATGCCTATGAGGAACTTGTGGCAGTGGGTTACCCCGACCCTCTGCCTTCACTTCCGAATCTCAGTGGATGTAAGAGAAGCCAATATATCAAGCAAGAGGAAGCACCTGGGAGTATAGAAAAAAAATTTAAATAAATACTGGCGAAGAATCAATGGCGTGAGTGAGACACACAACATATTTGCAGGCGGTGCTGCTTGATTCCTTCTTTTTTATTATTATTATTGTTTGAGTGCCTTTTGTTATTTCTTGCTGTCGCGATGCAGATGAGACTAACCAGGTGTAGTGTGAAGGCATGTTGATCTTGTACATGTTGTAAGAGTGCTTGATTACTTCAACTTGCTTTTATTCTCCTTTTCCTTCTGTTCATCTTTCCATGTGGGTACTGAGCGAATTGCATTTCTCTATTATGTGTCTTCGCCTTGGCACTTGTGTGCTCGCACAAGTGCCGCTATTGCCAAGGCACCAAACGTTGGGCACAGCCCATTTTCTGCCTTGGTGTCGCCCCAGTGTCACGTGCACACCACGCACACTGCTCGCAGCCTGCCTGGGCGCGCAATGGAAGGCAGCTTCTGTTACGCACTTGGGGAAACAAGGGAAGCAGCAAATCCCAAATCATCCCATTGGAATCATGCCAGCAAGCATGCACCTTTCGCTCGACGCTTGCCCGCTATGCTTTGGCAGGGCTGAGCTGCTACATTTGTTTCCTGTCTGCTACAGACCCGTGTACCTGACTGTCGTACGAAGATCACGATCTCTGCACTGACCATTGGAGCTGTTCTGCACTCTTTGTTGCTTCCCCTTGTTTCCCCGTAATTAAGCCATGGGACACGTGCTGCTGTGAGCCCAGTGGCCGAGCGGTTTGGGGTTTGGACGGCATGCACTGCCGTCTAGCAGGGTCCCGCTCTGTAAGGGATATTTATTGCTGTCAAGTGGTACAGTGCTGAATGCTTTTGTTGCGGGCACACAGGGGTAGATACCAGAGTTGTTTTTAGGGCTCCCCTGGATAATGTGTGGAAGCGCCTTTCTAGAAACCGGAAAACAAAAAGGAACTCGGTATCCATAAGTATATTGATGTACTATAGATGATATATGTCGCTAACCATGGATGCCTCATTTCATGAGTGAGCCATGAATATGTCTGCCGCGGAGAATTGCTGGTTTCCAAGCAGTTACTTCCTTCCTACATGCAAGGTACCGCCCCTTGCTTCTCCCTCGTTGTTTCTTGAGCATGCAAACCTTAGCTCTATCTTATTTTCTTCTGACAACATAACACTCTATCGTACGAACGAGTTGGACCGAGTGTTCAGGACAAAGTAAGACTTGTAAATACCGCCTGCCATTTCATGTCCCCTGTACAGTGAGTGACTGGTGGATGCGGAGTATTTTGTGTGTGGACAGGCTGTTTCTGGTGACCTCATCGTAGCTGGCGTTTCCTTGCTGCACATTGTCTAAAGCTGGCAGTGCCATCTTTTTGGTTTCTTTGTTTATAGAGAGTCATTTGAGCAGGATGAAGGTTATCTGAGGAAAGGACGACAAAAAAGGCCGACATTGTGGATGTGTGACCAGACAACATTGCTAGGTTAGACCGTGCAACACTCCGCAGGCAAAAAAAATTAAAGGGGCAGTGAAATTCTGTGCCTTGACCAAATATAGATGGCCTTTATTTTTTTGCCGAGACCTATGGTGCTAAGACTGAGATGGAAATGTTACAACCGTGGAATACGAACGGGTATCCTCAAGCTCAAGTAAAAAAAAAAAAGTATTATTCCTCCGTTGCCTGCTTGGTAAAAAAAAAAAAAGATAAGCAGGGATCCTCTCGCCACCAACCACACTTGGGTTTCCGTCCAGTGATCGTAGCTCTTATCCTCTTTTCTGCCATATAGAGCTGCCAGCATCTTTGCCACTGCCACAGTAATTAAAACGTAACCATTCCCATTACCGGTCCCAACTGTTACGTACATCTTCATGACATTGCCCCTGTCATGCCCCTGCGAAGGCTTTGTGAAGCCTTCGAAGGCTTCACACATTGCCTAGTGAAGGCTTTGAAAGGTGGCAAGCTAGTGGCTGCGACGAGCTGAGCCATCCCATCTTCGCAGTTCTCTCAATGTGGCAGTTATTCAAGGCACACTCTGCAGCACTCTGGCTGTTGGCAGCTGTTGAACACGACTTATTTTTCTTGCACTGTAATGAAATGCACAAACACAAAAAAGTGTCTTTGTATGCAGCTCGTAATATAGTATAGAAGATTGCTGCGCAGAAAACGAGACAATACTATTAAGGCAAATGCAGGTCAAATGCCAAAAGCAAGCTTTGGTAGACAATTTTACCGTGTAGGTTATGCTTGTAACTTGCTACAACATACGAAATTGGCGAACAAGGGCTTGTGCCAGCTAATTGCAGTGTTCATTACACAAGAAGACATGAAAGTGCACAGACTTGCTAATTTCTCATTTGCTTAGAGTAAGCAGCCTTCTGAAGGCTCTGCTGAAGAACTGCAAATGCCCAGCTAAAGTGTGCATTTGTTATTGCAAGAAAAATGAAAAAAAAAAAAAACGCTGGTGCATTCAATGTTTTGGTGAATGTTAAATTCAGATGGCTAATTCACCTCCCAGTACAGCCCGATCTGCTGGCCTAAACATCGATATGGGATCTGCAGCATTGTCATTTTAAGGCCATGCTGTAAAACTTGATTGTGGCATTTGACGTGCGTAGGCCAAGTGAATATCAGCAGCGACATTTGGAGCACAAACTATGCGACAACTGCAAGTGCCTGGACGATAGAGTGGTTGTCTATTTCAAACTACTAAAGACAGATAAACTACGATATTCGCTAATATTTTTGCCGAGACATATTTTGCAGATTACAGAGACCCAGTGTGTCAGAACTGCTCAGGAGAGTCGCGGTTGAAGACCGAGCTTGCATGCGTGCTTGCTTCCTTCTGCTTTCGGCTAGACAATCGAGTTCCCCTGCAGTATAGGATGCTTGGGAACCAGCAGTGCTTCCGGCAGGCATCCTCTTTCCCTTTTCGTCCCTGGTGTGCAAGTGGCTCGCGGCTTCTGTAGCATTCGCCAGCGGGGGCAGCAGCCACACTGCCTCGCGTTCCCCGTCTCTTAGGGAGGTCGCTTTTTGCGACAAGCCGGGCTCTTGTGATGTGTTTTTTTTTTTTTCCACGCGGAGGGAGGTCACTCCCTGCCTTCGTGCACCTTCATCCCTGGGATGCCGTCGACGTGCTGTTAGGACTTTTGTGTCCCCCTATAGTTGTCTTTGTGAACTTGTGTGTTACAGAGCTGTCTTTTTTATTTTTTGTTCATGTTGGCCTCCTAAGTGATGCTGTGATTTTCCTTGTTTGGTTTTGCCTTTTTCATCCCCGGGGATCGCACATGTTCCTCCTGGCTGACCTCTCGTATGTAGTTTTTTCCCAGTTGCGTTTCACTGGGATGTCGTACTGCCTGTTCCTCGTCTGTCGGCTTCTACGCGCCTTCTGGCACCTATCGAGTAGCGTGCGTCTGTTGACTCCTAATTTATTTCGCGCGGCTTACTTTGTTTTTGTCTCCTCTCTCTCTCTCTCTTGCCTCAAGACTGCCTTCCACCACCTCCCCTGCATACAAGAGTGATTTAACGACCCCCACCCTCTCCCTATGGACCCCCTTCACAACAAAATTCTTCCCCCGAAGAATTGCTGTCTGGGGCTTAGAAATCGCCTTCAGAAGGTTAAGGCATGCAGTGAGAATGCTGTCTATGGGAATCGAATCTGGCTGTCGGCCGGATGCAACTGATTTCCATGTCTATTCTTGGAGAAATTATTTTGTGAGGCCGCCAACCTTGGCTGCAGGAGGGGCAGAAAAAAAAACGCAGAAGCAACTGTCAGTTATTTTTCATAGACATGCTGGAGTGAACATACAGACGCTATAATCGGGGTGTAACTAACAATGCTTGTATATAGTCAACACTGTTTATACTTATGGAGGAGAGAGAGGGCTGAATAAGTTATGTTTGTTATGGACTTTGTGCAAATTTTTTTGTTTCTGGAGCTCCTTTCTTGCTGCGGAGCCAATGCGCACAAGGGGACACAAGTGGGTTGTTGTGCGCTCAGGTCTGCTACTGTTTTTTGTTGTACAGATTGTATCTTTTTTGCAATGTTCTATATTTTTAAAAATTAAAAATCCTTGGCTCGATTTATCATTACCAAAAATTTGTGTTTGTGTCATTTCTTGCTTCAAGCACACTCTGTGTCGACCTCAAGAAGGCATTCGACAACGTTAAACACGCCGCGATATCTGAAAGCATACGAGCGTACGCCATTTCCTCTCGGGTCGCCGGGTTCGCTTAGCGGTCGGTGGACGGAACCACGAGACAGACATGGGTTGCACGGGCACGCCGCAGGGCTCCTTAATTTCGCCCATGCTTTAAAAAAAAAAAAAAGGCTCGTGCATTTTGGGTTACCCGGGAAACTAGCTGATATAGAAGGCCTCCACCGCAGCAAGTACGTCAATGATATCACCTTCAAGGTTGCCGATGGGAACGATTGATATGTGGGCATTAACGTCCCGCAAACACGTAATTGCGCACCTTGAATACCTTCTACAGAAAACTGGCTAGTCGTAAGTGCGCGTGGCATATTCCTAATGGCGAAACTAAAAATAATCTTCATTTTTAGTTTCCTCTCCGCCATCTTTAACAGACGTGTTGAAAGATGGTGGAGAGATTGTGTTAGAAAAACTAGTCACGTTGTATACGAAGTGTCTCTTGACGTGAAGGGTACCATAATCCTGGAAGAATGCCATCATCTTAATCCGTAAGAAATGCGACGTCAAGGATTTGAAAAATTATAGACCGATCAGCTTGCTGTCCGTTCTTTACAAGCTATTTACAAAAATATCTCGCAAGTCGTCACCACCGGTGACGCTAGGCCCTGACAACCGGCTACGATTGGTGAACTGGGATCGAGTGGCGGCAGCTAGCCATGGCCACCTAGACTGAGGAGGCCACCCACCTTAGGGCTGAAGTACAGAGTTTGGTCCAAATAAAGTTCATTCATTCATTGCATGGAATTATGGCAATAGAGTCGAAATAGCGGAGCTGCGACGCCAGGGTAGGCCATTCTTTTCACCGACGAAACGTAGGTTGACGTCGGTTGTACGCTAGTGGGGTGTGGACAGATGGCACTGTCTGTGCACGAAAAAAAAAAGATAAATCTAGTGGTTAGTTAACTAAGTATTACGGCTTGGTGGCGTTAACCGCCGCCCGATCTAAAAAGTAAAACCACATCCATCCATCGAACGCAGCCCATCGACCTGGTTCACCGTCTGGTCATCGAAACCCCAGTGGCAAAGTCCAGAATCGCTGCTTCCACTCCTGTCACCTGGCAGTCTTATAGTCATAGATAACGCGCCATATCATTCTTTAAAGCAAGGCGAAGTGCCATGCATGAGTAGTCTTAACGAGGACATACAGGCCTGGCTTTCCGAAAAAAAAAAAAAGTGTTACGGGGAGCAGCGACATTGTCAAGGAGCTCGTGCAGCTTGTCGACCATGCATGTACGCGCAAGGTGGGATGGAATGCATCGCCGAGGTTGGCGGTTACCTCGCTGTGCGCATACTTCCCAACCCCTGCCAGCTGAACCCCATAGAGCTTCTTGGAGCGACGTGAAGGGTTTCAATAAGGTTGATAACTGGGCTAGTTGGTGATTAATCAATTAATCATTTTACTGTAAGGTTAAGCAGCGCAGTTTTAACATTGGGCTCAAAAATTTGATTTTGGACAAGTTTTGAGTGCCTGTTATTTCATATCTATGTCGCTGGGGCTCAGCGTGGGTGCATATTTATTAAGTATTTTTCTGTAATAAATTCAATTGCGATAATGTCGTGTCCTTCTTATCCCTCTTGTCCATGTTAAAAACAGCGCTACTTAGCGGCAAAAGGAAGGTTTTGGTAGAAGCGGCAAACGACGTTTTAGCTTCAAGCGGTAGATACTATGCTATGGCAAGAAATCAAGCAAGTAACCACTGGGAAGTGAAAATAAAGATTGAGATTGATTTATTCAATTATTCGTTCATTATTTCATTCAGTGACTGAAGTAAATATTCTTTTACACGTTACATAAAGATTAAAAAAAAAAAAGCTCGAACGGGAGAAAAACTCGTTGGAACCGGTACCGATAACAATGAATAGAAAAGGTCGGGCCAGTTTCATTGGCACACTGGTCGTGCCGTCCAAAATAAGCCAAACAAATGAAAAACGTACCAAGCGCCATCTGCTACCAAAGTCAAAATACAATTAGTGTAGTAAACCTACTTCCACGCAGAAGGGGCCACCTGTTGAACTAACGGACGCGACATGCGCATAAGAGCACACCTATGACCACGACCTCATCTATAATCTATAGAGGAGGTCGTGCCTATGACGGGCGCCACAGAACACCTACCAGAGTGCGCTCTATGATCATTTGCTGAGAGCGCCCGTACCTTCCACAACGCTGCCAACAGCTTTTATAGTTAGGCCTATTGACGTTTGAAATGGGAAGCTATCTCAAAAACTTGGCTAAGTTATTCGTAATATTCGGCCGTCGAAGCTACCGGAAGGCAAGATAGCTAAATTCATTTCGAAGCGGGCGTCCAAAATCACCGCCATGTTTTAGGTGCGCTACGTAGACCACTCAAACACGGTAACGCTAAATCTTGGGGTGCGTGCGGTACACGCTACGAGTATTTTAGCGTACTGAGCATGCGCATTTCCATCCCGCTATTCCGGGGAGACCGCTATCCCGTTAAACTATGTTCCTTGTAAAGAAACGGGAAGGGCATCTGCGGCTGCGAGAAGACAGCTCCGAAGCGATATGGAAGGCCTATGCCAACGTCGACGTACCCGTGTCTGTCTGTGGTTTCCTCTTCACGCTGACCCGTGATCGAGGAATCGAATCCCGGCCGCGACCTTAAATTTTGGTGGTCGAAGTGTCCGGAGCCTGTGTCATAATCATATCGTGGGTTAAAACGTTAAAACCATATATTATTATTATTATTATTATTATTATTATTATTATTATTATTATTATTATTATTATTGGGACGTTATTTTTCAGCAATTATTACTGTCACCTAGCCGAAGCTTGGCAAAGAAATTAAAGCAACCGAGAACAGAAACCTAGAAAAGGGCTGGATTATTCTTCACCATACATATAAGTGGTTATATCAGAAGAAAAGAAAAGGAAAGGTGCCGACCCGTAACTGTCTCTCCTTACGAGGACACCTCAACAGGTCAGCAGAGGAATGGGATATGGGGAATAAAAGATATAGGGAGAAGGAAGGAGGGATAAAAAGAATAGAAGGAAAATAGACGGAGAAGAAGCCGCCAGCCAACGAGAGGAAAAAAGAAGGAGATAGGAAAGTGGGGATCCGGTCGAAGCAGTCCAAGGGCGGGGTGCCACAATGCGAGAGCTGCACGGCATCAGGAGACCGCGGAGGGCGAACCAGTCGGCGGGAGCTACGCTGAAGTCGGAGATCGCGAGGGCACAACCGTCCAGCTTGAAATCCTCCGAGCGAATGTTCACCATAGTCCAGTTTCGGCGTATCAAGACTTGCGCGGCATTGTAAAAAGCTTCATCAATTTTTTTTCTTTTGTCGTTATGACGTATTCATATGTTCCAGTTGCATAGCAACCAGGCGATGGTGCTTAGTACAATCGTACAATAAAGAAAAAAAAGTGCCTAGTACAATGGTTAAGGCACCCGCCCTCTGAGCGTAAGGGTCTTGGTTCGAATCCCCTTCCGGCGATAATCATTTTTTTTTTCCGTTGGTAGGACGCAAGCATATGGTTCAGACGAATTCCAGCCAAGTAAGCGATGGTGCTCAGCTAAATGGTTAAAGCGCTCACCTTCGGTGCGCGAGTGTGAGCGCTTCAATAATCCTGTTGCTGCGATAACATCCGCTGTGCTCGTTAGGTAGGGCGCAAGCACGTGGTTCAGATGCGTGTTACGAGACTAATAAGTTGAAGCTTATCTGTTTTTTTTTTGTTTTCTTGAACGGTTAAGGCGTTCGCGTTCGAATAGTCAGGGGTTCGATTCTCAGTGCTGCTGTGAAAGTCTTTTCTTTTTTTTATTCATCTAGCCTTATCGTGGGTGATAAGGAACCCAGGTCCGCTCCAAGAAATTTCTTTCAGGGGACGGGAGAGGGGAGGGGAAGAATAGAACGGCAAACTTTTTTAACTGGTGCGCCCTGCAAAGTAGTGTAAATGCTTCACTATTACGCGAAAAGTTCATTAAACCTGAAAACATTTCGAGGAGAAGGGGGTCAGAACATTCTAGCCTATCCTTCCTCGACCTTCTAGTCACTTTTTCGCCTGCTTTTGATAATCTATTGCGGTTATACCACCGCATCAGGAGAATTTTAGGTTGGAAATAACGCGTAGCATACCCATCGCCGCAGGGTGTGACGTCAGACAAAAGTTGAGCCTTATCGGGGCTGATAAGAGCCGAAACTTTTTCGACTGTTTTGGGCGTTTATTGCAGTGAAGCCGACGCAGCAGGAGAACATTCAGTTTGGAAATAACGCGTAGCATGGCCAACGCCGCAGGGTGTGACGTCAGACAAAAGTTTAGCCTTATCGGTGCTGATAAAAACCAAAACTTTTTCAACTGTTTTGGGCGTTTATTGCAGTGAAGCCGACGCACCAGGAGAACATTAAGCTTGGAAATAACGCGTAGCATGGCCAACGCCGCAGGGTGTGACGCCAGACAAAAGTTCAGCCTTATCGGTGCTGATAAAAGCCGAAACTTTTTCGACTGTTTTGGGCGTTTATTGCAGTGAAGCCGACGCACCAGGAGAACATAAAGTTTGGAAATAACGCGTAGCCTGCCCATTGGCGCAGGGTGTGATGTCAGACAAAAGTTGAGCCTTATCGGGGCTGATAAGGGCCTAAACTTTTTCGACCGTTTTGGGTGTTTATTGCAGTGAAGCCGACTCACAAGGAGACCATTAAGTTTCGAAATAACGCGTAGCATGGCCAACGCCGCAGGGTGTGACGTCAGACAAAAGTTTAGCCTTATCAGCGCTGATAAAAGCCGAAACTTTTTCGACTGTTTTGGGCGTTTATTGCAGTGAAGCCGACGCACCAGGAGAACATAAAGTTTGGAAATAACGCGTAGCCTGCCCATTGCCGCAGGGTGTGATGTCAGACAAAAGTTGAGCCTTATCGGGGCT